AGAGAGGTGATGAGCAGGGCGAACTAGAGGGTGATCGATCGTCTCACTTCAGAGGAGCATAGTATTAAATCCGAGTACATGTCACAGGAGCGAGATTCTAGGTCGACCCTTGCTCACCTCGGTCGCTCTATATCCAAACAGGAGGCGGCGTTCGTAAGAGAGTGCAGTGTCACCGTCACCAGATGATGGACTCCTTCAGGCGAGCGCGCTGTCTAGAGTGATGTCAACCTCTCACTCTAATGGGAGGCGGGCAGTGGAGGAGGAGAGTAATGCGGCCAGTCGGGGCTTTAGGCAAGTGGCTGGTGAGGCTTCACGAGACATTCAAGTGAGAAGGGATATGAGCTCCTCAGTGGTAGTAGAACTTGCTGCTTTCAGAATGTCGAGTCGGAGAATTTCCGTAGCGAAAGAGAGCTGAGTTCCAAGATGAGCTCGAGTGCTCGGAAAGGGCAAGAACTTCAAGTTGATCTTGCAGATGTGGGGGAACTGTTTGCCACTGTCGCCGTATTGGAGCCGTTTAGATTGGAAAGGATATGGAGCATGTGATGGCGGAGAAGGCGCAAGACTTGGCTGAGGAATCGAATCAGTTCACGTGAGTCGGTTGTGTTTTTTTCTGAGTGCAGTTGGAGCTGCATCAGACGAACTCTGGATGAGCAAGCTCTCAGCAGCGAACATGAGGTCGATTCCTTGCGAGGGCACTTCTCTAAGATTCAAGGAGGCCTTGAGAAGGATATCCGGGCAGAGGTATCGAATATGTCGCGGACTAGTGGAGCGACGGGAATCTCTTTTTGTCATTGCAGTTGAAATCTGGGCTTGATTTGACCAGCGGCCGCACGAAGGAGGTGTTGGCTAAGGCGCAGAGTGAGCTCGATCACGGCCAGAAGCAGTACCTGGCAGACAAGACACGATCAAGTGTAGGAATTCGCTGGCCACTCTTGTTATGCGGTCATCATCACACTAGCTTTGCCATGTTAGTACCTCTTTAGGTGATGACCAAGAAGCTGGAATCGGACGCTACACGATTCGATAAGCACACCAAGAGGTGAGTCTATTTGAGCGAGTAGCTTTGGCG